GCACGCTCTACTGAAGGAAACGATTCCAACTTGAATGCCACTGACCACCAAAGGTCCACCGGAATCACCCTGGAACAACAATGCGACCAGCGGTAAATTTATTGCGGCAGTAAGAAAAGTGTCTGTTATTAAGCGCCAGTTATAGTTTGTAATTGTCTTTTAGTCTATGTTGTGTGATAAGAAATATATTACAGAATTATATTATATAGAATCAATATATTATAGAAAAATCTATCGAAACAACTCTAATTGAATCGAACAAACTCAACTTCTGGCTTGTATAAATGGAGAAATTTCAGGCGTTATTTTCCTGCTTGTGTAAAATAAATTAGAAATTTAGTTAAAAAATGAGGAAATCATAAAACTGATCCAAAACGCTTGGTATTTACCGTTGTTCTCATTTTATTTCTTTTCCAGATCTTTCATCAGAAGTGGAATTATTCGTATTTTATAAAAAAGATCCATCGAAATAATTTGTTAGACAAAACTTCAAGATTGTATATGGTAAAAAAATTGCTGTAGATTTTTTTAATAGCATTTTGGCGCTCTTTTAATTTTTTGTTTGCGCAAACAAAAAATTAAAATTTTATTTAAGGAAGTCAAAATGATCACAAAGCTGACTTGACACACTGTTGGTAGTATTTATGTCTGATAGTATTTATATCTGGTAGTATGGTCTGATTTATATAATCTTCTATCAGAAGCAGAATTACTCATGTTATGGAGTTAGATAAACCTTTTAGGAGTTGAAGGAATATCTATATTACATCCACACCAAGTTTCAATTTAGTTTACCTTTCACTATTCACTGAATTTTGTAGTTGAAATACCTACGTCAGGTTATTGATTTAATGTGATTTTCATTCAATTTAATTTGTTTGTGTAAAATTCATGTAACAAAATTTGTATAACTCAGATTTAATTTTTTTTACTACATCTTTTTCAATATATATATACTTTTCATAAAATCGCGACGAAAGGAAATATAATGCAATATTTTACATAATGTCAATGCAACTTACTTTACATATATCTTCTCCTCAGTCAAATGTGACTTCTCTACATGACTTGTCAGCATAAGATTTTGCATTGGTCGTAAAGGTACAGAAACAAGTCGACTTCTTGCAAGTTGTTCGGAACGCTTCCAACAGCCTGAAGAAAAGAAATTATTAAAGGAATTATTACGTATAAGTTTAGGAAAGCAGAAATCGAACACGTGTATTTTTCTATGTGCACAGACACTCTTGGATAATACTTTCGTATTCATATTCAGGTAATATATTACGAAGTCACAGTTATATACACTGATAATTCCCCATCCAGTTATCTTGGTGCTCGTGAGCATAATTTTGCACAGTGAAATAATTATAGTTAGAAAAATCGTTTTTGCAGTAAGAGTTCTGTTATCGCGACCATGATGTAATAATATAAGGTGAAGCATTCCCGAAGATGCGCAGTGATTGACTAATCAGAGATTGCATTCAATTGCCCATGTAAGTATGATTAGGTTGTTTCCATATGCTAGAAGTGTGTATTTTAGGGGCAAAATTTCATTGGCTGTTGCGTCTTCTCTCGCTATTATGCGCAATGCTACACCTTATTACATCATGATCGCGACAGTGACATAATGATTTTCGCTACTATATGTCGCTACTACTACTTTTTCATTAAATCAACAAAAAATATTGTTAATTAATAAATTGTAACATAAATTATTTGACAAACATTCCGTTTGTTGTCGTTTACTTCGATCGTGAGATTTTTGTTATACTTATCTGGAGCGGAGTGTGTCAAAGCGACGAACACAAACACGATAAGAGCGTATGCACGCATTTTGATTGTGAAGTAGAATTGCATTCCCGGATTTATATAGGTTTTAAAATCACTGACGAAATAGATAGTCCATTTGAGAGTGAATAACCTTTTAATCGCTTTCTTATCATATACGGTAAAAATACTTTAAATTGTGTTTTCGTAGCTTATATCTCTAAAACAAGTCGATGAGAAAATTAACATGGATCAAGATAATATCTTTTCACCGTCGCTATTTTCCTATAAGGCTGTTTTACAAATTGGATTATAGTTTCACGTGTTTACTATGTTTTATTATAATTTTCGTAATAGTGCCAGTCTATTCCCGGACTACTAAAATTGCATTGCAATTTTTACTACAATATTCCTTCCGTATATAGTTGCCTTAAATTACATACAAATTAAATACAAAGTAAGTGCTTCAAATATTTTATAATTAGTGATATAACTTGAATAATTCTGCATGCAAATATAAGTCGAAACTGTCGAACAAAATGTTTTTTACACGTTATTTTATTACTGAGAATAATGATTTTGAATGTTTATCAAAGACGTATGCATCTGAATATATGCGATTAATTTTTGCACGTAGAATCATTATCTTCTCGGTGATACTATCAGTCTTCGTATATTGAAAGCAATAATGAAAAGAATATGTATATAAAGATATATTATATTATGCATATTGTTTCAGCCATTCTTTGAAAGCAGCTACTTTTGTATATACATCGGGATATCCTATAGCGCATGGTCGACCGTAGGAGACAATACCAATTTGAATGCCATTGGCAACCAAAGGACTGCCTGAATCACCCTGCAAATTTAATGGAAATAACGGTCAATTGTCTGCTGAACGAATGGTACAGAACGTACAATCCATTTCGTTTAATCTATTCGCGATAGGTATTGTGTATATATTCGTTATTATTTTAGATCATTGAATGTATATACGGGCAGAACAGTATGTTTGGCCCACACATAAATCGTGCCAATCAGATTGAACTTTGAATTAGGTCGGCATAGTCAGATTAATGTGTCAGAAATTATGTGTAGAAAACCAATATTTACATTGCACGCGCCTTGACCTCTTCTTTTGAACGTGCACATTTGACTGTCCAGGAAATTGTTAAATACTTTTTTACATTTTTTGCTATCGTAAACAATCAGTTCCACTTCTTGCAATTTGTTAGGGATATTACCACCCATCTAAAAACAAATAAAAAATCGTGTACTATAATATTTGTGCGAAAGATCTTAAATATGTAAAGCATTAATTTCATACACACATATCAAGTTTTTATACGTATAAATATATAATAATATCACATACAGACAATAGTATTATAAAACATAATATTATAATACAATATAATGATATGTAAATAGCAAATAAAAAAATTTCTTAATGAAGATGACATTTTACAGCGATATTTCGAAATAAAAAGCATTCCATTTTATTAAATATCACAATAAGTTTAGATAAAGATTAGATAAAATAGTTTCTGTTGTATAAATAACTACTTTATCAAGAGCGCTGTTATATTTATCACTTACCGTGATGCGTCCCCATCCAGATAAGATACAACTACGACCGGGAGCAATATCGCTGATTGCAAGTGATACATTTCGTATTAATTTGGTATACTTAATGTCGGACGATAGAGTAATTACGGCGATGTCGTTTGCCAGCTGAGATCTTCTAAATCCCTTGTGATAGGTAATATTTTTCGGCTTATAGACGGTGCCGGATTGGTTCAACAGATTCGTGCCTGCATGAACGGTGACCCGCGAGAGAATGATAGAGGAGGTTTTGCTGTCATTAAATCAAGACATTTTAGATATCTTCTCGCATTCCCTTCTCATATTTCTTAGACATTGCGTAACTCTGAATTCTATCTCCTTTCCTTATACACACAATTGAATATTGTGCGCACAAATAAACGATGTAAAATAAGAGCGAGATTACACTTACTCTGTCACACAGTGAGCGGCAGTAAGGATCGTACGATTATTGATGATCGATCCGCCGCAGAAGTGTTTATTGTCCAGTCTCAGAGATACCTGATATGGGAACTTGCCAATCGGAGCATCGTGTCCACCGACAATTTGATTTGTTGGCGAGCCTACGTGAGCATATGTGAGAATACGTGTGTCAGAATGGAGTATACAAATTTCATCGGATCTTACCACGTTCACTGATTCCTGAAGTGATGTTATTAGAGTCAACGGCGACTCCCAATGACACAAGTCACACGTATGATGAGATATAGTTCAACATATAATCAATATATTGGACAATATTTTATTGTTATTTATATTATATTGCGATTATAAAAATTTCACCATAATGTAGATGCTAAGACAAATGAAACTTCGTTTTGAGCAGACATAGTTAAATTTCAACTTACAGTGAAAGATGGAAGAAAGAGAAATAATGGATGAAACGTCTAACGCAATTTTATAAACGAATTAGTCACGTTTGTTCTCTCACCGTGCACAGCTATTGCCAAGCAGGCGGTCACCAAGACAAGTAATACGTGCATAATGGTATTGTATAATATTGAAGAAATGAAGTCATCTGATACGTATATATAGTCCGTCTGAGTATTCCACCACTACATGCTGATGTATGGAAATATACATCAAAATATAGGCTATTGATATAAAGTAGTTTAAAATATTTTTATCATTTCGATAACGCTCCGAGCGATCAAAGTGCTAAACGCGTATCTAAGGAGTCAAACGCTCGTTACGAGATCTCAGAATTTTTATCTGATTGATTGAATTTGATGACCGATATGATTATTAACTGATTCTTTAAATTACAACGATAAAAAAGATGCGAATCATTGAATAATGTTCTCTGCGAGAAATGTTCCAAGCCGAAAATGATAGATTATTTTGGTCTCTGCTTGGACTGTTGCATTGTCGAACTTGAAAATTTAGTAGAAATCACGCTATTATACGTATACGTATTTTTCACGCTGGGAGAATTTTTCGGAATACATTCACACTAAACTTTCTTTTTTCTCGACGTTGCAAATAAATTTTTTAGTCATAACAAGTCAACATTTTTCAAGTGGCGATGTTACCCAGAGAAACTCTCTCCGCGTGTAATTACAATTTAACGCGATCTTTGACTCAATTCAAATTATCTCAATTTTGAACAAAAAAATTATCAGTCTTGTCGGATTTTTAATTATGAATGCTAATTAGTGATGCTCACCTTCGAGCAAATTCCGCTCGGTCCGAGCCGGATCTTCCGGCGCAGCAGCTTCTTAGAGTCGGCTGGTCGCTTGCTTTGTCTTTGCAACAGAAAGTAGATTTAATTTAGTATTAATTAGTTACACACGACAATGAAGGCATTAAGGAACTCGATTTCAAGCAAGAGAATTTCCCTTTGTCAAATTTCTAATTACGAATGTAAATCAGTGAAGCTCACTTTTGCGCCGACTCTGCTAGGCCCGAGCCGGATCCTTCGGCGCAGCATCCCCTTAAGCCTGTGTCACACTACGGATTGGAGATAGAGAATTGCGGATTGAAGATTGGAATTTGACTAATTGGAGCCAAGCAGGACCAAGACTAAAGTGCATTGATTCGTCGAAATCTAATCATCAATCCGCAATCCTCAATTTCCAATCCGTAGTGTGACACGGGCTTTAGAGTTGAGTGCTCGTTTCTGCAACAGAAAAAACATTTAATTTAGTATTAATTAGTTACACAATAATGGAGGCATTAAGAAACTCGTTTCGAAACAAAAAAATTTTCAGCTTCCTCGGATTTCTTATTATGCACACTGAGAAAAATTTCTGGTAATAATTATCCAGCATGTGTTATAGTTACTGAATCATTTAGCGAAATACTATCAACTAAATATAGAGGTGAATATGACCAAATCATTTGGTAACTATGAACCAAGAATCATAGTAATTGTTACCAAGGTTTGGTGACTATTACCAACTATCATTAAATAATGTGATAAATAAAACCATATTGTTTAGTAATATTTACCACTATTATATGATTACTATTATATGATTACTATTATCTTAACCGCTTGGTTATAATTACGCAAAGCATGATAATAATTACCACAATTATCATATTAAAAATATTTGCAAATATCGTAATAATGCTTGCTTCCAACTATGACGATAGACTTCAACTTTTCGTATCTTTTTTGGCATCAAAATTAAATTCTGAAAGTGTAGTGATGATCTTTGAAATTTTCCTGATTGGAGCATCCACAGTTTCGGTATGTATAACCTGCAGAATGTTTGTATTAAACAAATATTGCACTAACTGATCAATCAAAATTTGATTTTAAACATATTTTTGTCGTTTTCATCACATATTGAGCAATGCTCCAATTAATTTTTGCATGCACTTTTGTTGTATAAGAGCATTTGTAATTCTGTGCAAGCAACAAGACGTAAACTTTGCAGAAAAAAGTCAATATTATGTCGGTAAAGTTTTTATGTCCGGTATCCCCTTAAGAACAAAGAGCATTGACAATTTATCTACGAATAAAAATATATAAAGTATTGTGAATATGATTTTTTTCAAATAAATATATTGTATAAGTAATAAGTATCGGTGTATTGTGATGTATATCAAATTATGGGATTCGTTTATCTTAAGAGAAAAAGAAATTTGTTCATTGTTATTTAAGATATTTCTAAGGAAGGACAAAAATCAGAATATTTCAATCCTTACAATCAGAGAAATGCTAAAAAGAAAAATAAATTTGGAAATTAAAATCACGTTTGACGGATCCTGATGGCATGTCGAGAGAGGTCGAATGATAAGAGCAGAAAAATTCAGTCCTGTAGTAGGCTGATGCATTTCAGCACAAAATAACAGCAGATGGACAATTCTCCTATGGTAGAAAGAGTTCCAACAATGGGTAACGTTGCGCGTTTGCCCTTCACCTCGATATGGTACATTCCCTTTGAAGAAGCCACTATTATTCTCTTCGTGCCGGAGCAAGAGATAATATACCTTCCCCAGAGATGGCGCCAATATATAACCCATATAAACAGACCCAACAATATAACGCAACGTAGAGAAATAATAAGAGATATATGGCGATGGAATAATGTTATACAAATGCGTTATAGAAGAGTTAACTGCCCTTGCAATTTGTATGATTTGTCGAAATTATAACGCACCTATTTTGCATTCTCATCATCAACTTCATATGCAGTATACAGCGCGAATAAGATCACATATAAGGGAATATTTGCATGAAACAAAGTTCCGACAATAATGTAAACGGAGCTAAGACAGCTAAAGATTACTTTATTTTTGTCTCTTCAAACTTCTCAAGATGTCTGCCTTGTTCATACACGACACGCCCAGTGAAAACTTTGTAACGAGAGAAACGAGCTGAAAGACACTGTTTGCAGATCATTAGTCTGACGATAGAAGCGCGCTCGAGATGAGGAGAAGTGGAGGCTTCTCTTCCGGTAAGCCTATATGGGAACGAGCGAATTGTGAAATAGCTTTGACAATTTGAATTCATCGTCATCTAGTGTACTCTGTAAAATTGTAATTTCGCCGAATCGTCGGTGGATCGGGAATCATCGATCGGATGGATCTCTCCTTCGATCGTTGTGTGTCTGTGAGAGAGAATGAATTTTGATTAATATTATGCATGGAAAGAATATTATAATATTTTTTGTATAAATTCCTTTCAATTTTATAATATTTTTAGCACTCTAGCAATAGACTGTCAGAAAGTTTACTAAGGCACATAGTAAATTTTGCTAGAAACATAGCGAGTGTTTTAATAGTACATTTCAGCTTCTAAAATATAAGTAGTATAGATGAAATAAAAAGGTGGAATGTGTGAATTACTGCAGAATGTCGATCTATTCCTCACTTACAAAATCATAAAATAACTTTTATTATAAAGTTCTCTCCGTACACAGGGTGTAAATGCGAAAGAGAGCACGTGCCGCGCGGCTGTTTAATTCATTATGCACACGCGCTTGTTTGTCTAATTTCCACCTAATTAACATTAAACATGAAAATAAAATTAAATATTAACACTAAGTTTACCGCATGTTATATTCAATTTCGAGGAAAATAGAAGAAACAAGGTAAACCTAATACATATATACACCCACAAACACATGGTGTGTATATATATATATATATATATATATATATATATATATATATATATATATAATTGAAACTTACGAATCTCCCGAGCGTTCTTTCTCCCTTGAAACAACAAATTGATTTCGCGTCACGTGTGGCGTATTAGCTGAGGTGTTTAAAGATCAAGGCACACATTTATTCACAAATAATTACCGTGGATCTAGAGATTTGGTTTAGTTTTCGCCTAATGTTTGGTCTGCGAATTAAGCGGTCGATTACTATTCTCACCGAAAGCCCGATCGATAATTCTGCACACGCAACGCGAGAACCGAGTCCGCACTCTTCCGGACGATTGGCCGCTGTATGTTTTACAAACTAACGGCCGAAATGGAAGCACAAATAAGTTTCTTTTATTGGATGGCCACAAGTGAGCATTCCGCTCTTTAGGATGATTCTCATGGCGCGGCTGGGAATAAATATAGGGGAGCCGTGGTCCCTAAGGATCGGGTGCGAAGGCGATTGCGAATAGTAAGAACCCTTCATCTAGTCTTGATCCTGTTAACGGGATCATGCCGGTGCACGATGGATCTGCCAGGGAAAAATTAGACGCGTTTGGATTTCGCGTCGCGTCGCCGGAATATTATTATTTCGACGGCTTCATTAAACGGATGCTGTCTCATGGCGCGCTTTGTGATATTAATAACAATCATTACTAACGATTGCATAACCAGTGGGTGGAATGTGCTTGATCATTTAAGATATTTCATCGTGCGCGTGAAAGATTTTCGGAGCTTCTCTTAAGACACATCGACCACGATGAAGAAACGGTCGGCTCCACCGTGTGACGTTTATTCCGCGTGCACTACTAGGGTGACTCTCAATGGCCGCTCGTGATATTTACATATGCATATCATTTATCGCATCGCTAGGGAAAAGGCCCTAATATCCCACAGGACTCTCCATATATCCAAATCGCATTACCGCGCTGCCCATACCGGGCTAAGCCCTGCGCCCTGAACGATTTGATATGCGTGAGCTATAACCGAGTTAACAATCTGATATGACAGATGGTGTTTCATGCACGCCGTATCTGATCCTGCCGCGTTGCTAACGCAAATTGTTCTAGTCTCGACAAACGTCGAATAATTGTGGCCGACGTCGCGTTTCCCTAACCATTCCGAATGAGGTTGCCGAGCAATCTTTTAGAACAATCAAAACGCGTTTTTGTCCCCTACCTGTCAAAATTGAGAAGTAACGCGTGTTAGGATCGTGGCACACGAAAAAACTTAAGCAGTAAGCAAATTGACAAATCACAGTCGTTGACTCTTCTTACGGATTCCAAGAATCAACGACTGTGATTGGTCAATTTGCTTACTGCTTATGTTTTACTGCTTAAGTTTTTCTGTGTGCCACTGGCCTTACGCTCGCCTTACACACTTTTCTCTTTAGGTAACGATTTTCTTTTTTTTTATTTTTTTGTTAGCAACAACAATGATGATATCACTAAACTCTTTCGAATAACGGTAAGAAAGTAATCGTCACTCTTGTCGTTACTTCGTAGAATGTCTGTAAGCAGTGAGGCAACCCGTTAACCCTGAAAAAAGTGCAAAGAACGCCCGCAAGCATCGCGGAATTGTTTCCAAAATTACCACTTTGGAAACGATCCGCGGACTTCCCTCCACCTCCCGAGTCACGTTGGAATCCTCGAAATGGCGATGGATCGTTTGTCTGACCTTTTCAGTGTCCACCCAACGCCGTTCGGCGGCGTGTATACTTACGACAGTTTTACAGCGGGATCAGGTCCGCGGCGGGCGGGCGTGCTCTTTCTCTCTTTCTCCTCGTAATCGCCGTTTGAAGAAAAAATTGCCGAACATCTCGAGCGGGAGAGATCGATGGGAATTTGCGAGTCGTGGGTGCGACGACCGGCGAAAAACGCGGCCGCAGTCTGAGAGTGCCTCTCTTTGAGTGGGTGATAGTTACTTTTATGCCCCGTAATTATACATTCTTCCGACCGTCGGCTGCGAGTTTTAGGGTTACATTTAGACCCTTCGAAACGGCGACTCGCGCCGTTTCGCGCGCTTCTCCCACGATTCGCGCCGCGACGCCGTCGACGAGCACGTTCGCGGGCGAGTCTGGTTTCGGCCGCGCGTTTTTACGGCAAAAGCAAGGGCAAAAGGGGCCGAACGGGCCTCGCGAATGTCCGACGTGGACATGCCAACTCCCGCAGGAATCGAGGGTCCTGAAATTCAACGAATCGACGCGGGTGGAACCGGTTCGCGCGCTCTTCAGCAACGCACCAAGGCGAGACAATCGTGACGACGAGCCGTTCCGCGGATGGCAATTCCGGGACGAAAGTCCGAAGCGCGATGCGCATCCATTAATATTGATCATCCAAAATGAGTTCCAATCCAGCCCTGATCAGTCAACGAGATCGCGACGTTATCGCATTGAATGCGCGCGTAGAACGCGCCGAGGTGCCGCGGCGCTGCGATGCACGATGATAATTATTAGTGTACGAGAGCTACCATGTGTTTACGAAGGACCTATTATTAGTACGAACACGTATTACCCCGTCGGAGGTTCCTCTCCTCCGTTTACGGCCAGTAAGTGATTTCCACCGTCCGCAACGTCCGTGAGGGAAGTATCGGGCAAATTGAGCACTTGGCCGCGAAGAAGACGTCAGTGCGTGACGGCTTTTTCGTCTCACGTGAATTTAAGGCTTGCTTTAGGATTCATTAGGTCTCTTTGCGCGGAGCGAACGGGAGAGTTACTCTTTAGAAGTAATCCGTTGCCATTATTCGTTGTTCGTTGCAAAAAGGGGCTCGTTACCGGAACTGATGGAGCAGAATTAGCGCTCCGAGTAGTTTTCGAAGCAAAGTGACGAACTGGATTGTGCATCAAAGGTTTTGTTTAGAATACAGCCAAATTAAGAGTAACATTTTACGATCTTCACCGTACATGCTGAATGAAATCCTCCATGTTAAATTCAATCCTGAATTCCAATTATTATTGGAATTAATTTTCCCCTTACTTTAAGATCTCGAATGTTCAGTTGGGCGCGTGCGTCTGACACTGCCAAATAATATTATTCTTTCGTAAATTAATTATTCGCACTAACAGGGAGTTGCACAGAGGGATCTTATTGGCCTTACGTTGCTCTTAAGAAAAGTGACGGTAACGACGTGACAAGCGGCGTGTCACTTCTCGATCCTGACGGTGCATTAACGTTGCCGTCGCGATTTCGCGCGACGTGTCCTCGTCGTGTCTGCAACTTACACATTTCTCGAACAGTCGACCGATTTCACTCGATAAATAAGTGTCGACCGTTAATTTCACTCGACTGATATTTCTCGAGTCTTATTGCGCCTGTGGTGATTGCCACTCCGAAATATATTCCGCGTTGGGCGAGGTCAATAAAAAAAGAGGCGATTTGACAGGTCAGCTGAATATAGTCTACACAGTACGATTATAATTATGCGAATGTGAATTTTAATGCATTTGCGACTATTATAATAATGTACTGTGATGGATTATTATTTACGTAAATATGGACCATCCTTTGAATTTCATCAATTAATTAATGCCGGCGGATTAGCAGTTTTCAGCATCAATTACGCAAACAATACTATGATTTGTTGATGTCATTAAACATAAATATTGGACTGACTGTTCGTTGTCACTATGTGACGGTGTAAGAGCGACAAATTATTGCATGTTTAATATGTATATTTAATCAATTTACCGTTGCGTTCAATAATACGCGAGACATGACCGCCGATTTGTCTCTTCAAACGGCATTACCACATTTCATTAATTTAAACGAGATTGTGATATTTGATCACATCATTAGTACCAAGACGACACGCGTCACGTTAGAGATATTTCAGGTATTGCATCATACAGATTGCGTGACACACACGAAGGAAAAATACTTGAAAATTTACTTGCGGGATATAAAGTTTGCCTCCGCGAAATAAAGCTCCATTTCTGCGCGAATAAACTTTACATTCCGCGAATGAACTTTCAAGTCGTTCCTTTTCATTTTCAGCGTGGAAATATATTTTTTCTACATATTGCATATACATGATGTATCATTTATAAAATATATTACCCGAATTCTCTTCTATACATGGATATAACGGGAATATAATCGAATTGGGTTACGCACATATATTTTTCCAAGGTGGACGGAATTTACATTTCGAGCTTCGCCGAAACGCGTCGGAGGGAGCGCGTTGCGGCCGAAAATGAGAAATTGTGAATTCAGATGTCGAAGAATGGTATAGACGTTGCTTACAGGATACACCGGTTTCCAATACTTTCGAACGCGCTCGGTCACCTCGTCCTTTCTCGTCTAGCTGTCTCTCTCTCTCTCTCTCTCTCTCTCTCTCTCTCTCTCTCTCTCTCTCATATTTCAAGGCCGAACGGACGTATTTACGCGCGTGTCCGGAAGGGTCACAGCGACGGCGGCGAATCCGTGGATCCGTGATTAATGGAGCTGTCGGACGGGCATCTACGCGCCGCGCCGACGAATCGAGGAGCGCTTAGCGTGAAATTTACCCGATGAATTGTTCTCACAATTATCATGATCTACGGGTTCGGGGATCCAAGAAACACGAAAGTCTCGGAGCAGTCCGCTAATCTCCGTTCGGCGAACCCTTCACTTTGGCACCCTTCCCTCCCTCTCTCCTTGTTTCCTTCCCTCCTTGCTTCCCTGCTAGCCTCCCCGCCCCCGCGGCGCGCCGTTCTTGCCCTCCTCACAGCCGCTGGCAGCATCACCCTTTGGGAGCAACTTCTCACCCACAAGCCGCGCCACGGCGATATTTTTCGGCGGGGAACACGACGTCCCGCCAACGCGAGAGGATCCCGAAAATTTTCAAGCCCGATCGCGAAACTATAATTATCCTTTAGGCTATGCGGTATGCAGCGAATAGTAGGTGCGCGACTAGAGAAGCCGACCTTCGGCACGTCCGTCTTCCTCGCCCGCGATCGGGCGGAGACCTGCGGAGCCTATGAAAAATTTCACGGGGTCGTCGAAAATAACGTTTCACCGAGTTTTCACCGCGCGCAATTTCGGGTGAATTTATGTCGCGAGTTTCGGCCAAAGTACAACGCGCAGAGCGTTGTTATCCGATACGGACGGCTCATCGGGCGGGGAGAGAAACGGGATCGGCTGTGTATACCCGTGTTGAAATACGTTATTATTTTACAGCCACGTCGGTATTATTTTTTGCTGCTCGACGAGAGTTGTGTTTTTACCACTTGTTCCTTTTTTATGACGAACGGATTGATCGTCGACGAAGACGGAGCGCCGGATCTAGACACCACGGAGTATCTCCCATCTCGAAAGACTGCTTCCCCGTATTATAGAAGAATTTCAAAGTGGTTCGTTCGCGCGAAATGATTTATGAAAGACTTCTCTCGGCCGCGAGCTGGAAATCATTCTGACCGGGGCGATCCGATCGAGCTGTGATCTCGCGCGCCATTATCTTCAATTAATAAAAATTGCGAGGATCACCGTGCGGGTAACGTCGTCCGTCATCTGTCACGCTCGTTTGCAGAGTGCGCATAAAATCCATATCTCTCCCCGTTGCAATGAGTATTACCGAGACAATTAATCGGAGAGCATCAATCAGTCGAAGCGATACTTACGATCGAGTTGATCCTCTGCTGACGAGCTAGAGAAAGATCCGAGCTTTCGACGGATTCGCGAGTCGCATTTCAGTTCTTTTATCGTCTACTTTCTAAATTAGGATTGATTATTGCCAGGCATGGGAGCGAGTACGCTCCTCTTCTATTTGAAGGACGACGTCACGCAAGTGATGCTCAAATTAGGGTTATAATCCCCCGGCCATCTGATATAACGCTCCCCTCAGTCCGCTCGCTATTTACCGACAGCATTTTAACCCTCGATTTGTCGTCAACAGCTTTCGCGAGTCCATTGGGAATCACGCTGCATGATTTCGCGTCGCGTCAACGACATGTGCCGAATGAGAACATCGCTCGGAAATTACGTACCTGCCCGCAAAATCCGCTGCTCTCCCAAATGCTGTCTCGTATTTCTCAGGATCAAATGCGTCGCTCTTCAACTCGGCGTGGCATTCAATTGCGCGATCTCTTCCTGCAAAATAGATCGAACATAATAGATAATCGCCATACGTACGATTCTGAAATATTGAGTTCACTTTACTCGTTTCGTTGAAGGCACAATACGGACTTGCGTCCATTTTGAACAGGTTATATCGCCTTCGAACACGATACGTGTTCCCCCGAGAAGGCCTCTAGATTACGTCCTACAGTTTTGCCGTTGACGAAACGACTCGTCGATACATATAAGTGACAAACGGTGTCGGGATCGCAAATTACCGTCTCGCAGAATATGCAAATCCTCGTCGGCGTCTCGCGCATCGAGTCACGCGATACACGAAATCGAAATTGGGTCATCGCGCAAATAACACAGATGGAAGTAAGCCGAAATAATGAAGAAGGCGTGTCGAGGGTAACATTACGGCCGCTAGAGGAGCACATACCGTGAGACGGCGGACAAGTGTTGCCCCGAGCGTTTATTATTATTAAATATCGGTCGACAAACACGCGACGTTTTCGGCGATCGCTTTCGGATAAACGCATTATTTGAACCCAGATAGGTCACTCGAGATATTTAAAAATAAATTAGCCGCGCTCTCTTCGTCAAACTATCCAAAACCCCAAAGCCAAAAGAGAGAGAGAGAGAGAGAGAGAGAAATAGATAGAGAGAGAAAAAAGAAACAAGACGTTGCTTGATCTCTTCGTCTAGTGCATTCGCGATACGCCAAAGTGCCATCGAGCGAGTCAGAGGATGGTCGTTTTTATCTTTGAATGCAATTATAATTGCATGGGAAGGATTATCTTTATCCGATAACCCGCGCGGGAGCGCGGACAGAGCGTCGCGGTATCGTCGCCTCCGAAATTGCACCGGTCCTTCCGGGGCGATAGTCACAACCAGTCGGGGATATTTTGATAATTCCCTTTTTTGCGAGCGTGTAACGCGGAAGAGATCAAAGGCTTGCCAGTAGCACCTGTCCTCTACCCCCGTCTTGTCATCCAGTGGGACTGCGCCAGGGGGCTGGAGAACCCAATGAACTCTCTCTTTCCGTGCCGCCGTTTCTCTCTGACGCTCTCCCTCTCTCTCCCTCCCTCCCTCTCTCTCTCTCTCTCTTTTTCTCTCTCTCTCTCTCTCTCTCTCTTTCTCTCGTCCCCTCTCTGCCCCTCTCTCGTTCTCTCTATCCTGATCCTCCCTCGCTTTCTCTGCTTCTCCCTCTCTTTCTCCCTCGCTCCCCCTCTGTTTCTCCCCCGGCCCCACCGCATCGCTCGTCACAGCTATGCGCGCGCGCATGGCTTGATCAAGCTCTCCGGCTGCGAGAGATTGTCTTCCTTCGCCGTACTATGTGGCCCCTGTCCGACGATCCCTGGATTAAATTGCAATTACCTTTATTGCAAGCGTGCTCGCGCTCACTCGCGCCCGCGCGCGGTCTACCCTCCTCCGGCCGCTACTACAAAATAACGAAGCTGATGATTTTCGGATCGGAGCGCGCCGAGCTCCTCTCTCGAGGCGCGCGAGGAGGATGCGATCCTCTCGGCAGCCTCCGGTGTCGCGGCTCGGCGCAGCACGTCGGCGGAGTTCTCTCTGCGCCGACGACGAGTCGGCGGAAGTGGTAAATTGCTTTTAGGCCTTTCTGTGCCTCTCGCTCGCACCTTCGCCCGCCCCGCTCTCGCTTGATTGATAAGATTATAACGCGCCGCGAATCGAATAAACGAGCTCGCTCGCGCGTTTGACGCGAGGGCCCTCGCTGTCTCTTGTCTTCGCTCGTAGCGCGACCGGCATGCGGATATTAAAGCGCATCTAGAAGCGCATTTAGAACTGTGCAAACCTCGGATTGCACGCGTTGGTGAATGATATCTGCTTGAAATGTCAGATAGTGAGAATGGAGAAAGAGAAAGAGAGAGGGGGATAGAATAATGCAGTTGCCAGTTGTAATTATTCGTATAAAAAACTCGCGGTTATCGCAATTACGATCTTCAAAGCGAGCAGGCTGCTCACTTCCGCGTTGTATTCCGACGCGCGGAAAACCAGAATGTGTTGACTGCGTAATTGAGTTATCATCGTACGATTCGCACAATATTTCTTTCCCGCTGATCGCAGAGAACGAGCCGTCTGTTCGCAAAGTGTCGCGATTCGACAATTCGTGTCGACCGATTCGATTCAGAGCTTACGACACCAGCATGATCGCAACGAGTGAGCGCGCTCACCCCGACACCGACGCATTCGTGACGATTTCCGATGCGACACGATGCACTTAGGAGTCCGAATAACTCCAGCCGGCATAAGTCATCCGTAAGGCCCGAGGGGTCGCGGCCCGGGGTATACCCTAGAATTATCGCTAAACGTTATTGCCTAGGCTCTATAGATCTTGCGTATAAAATGCTAGGTTACCGCTGCCCCTTACGTGTGGTTAGAAGCGAGGGTGGATCCGCGCGACGGACGATGGCGGCGTTGGCGGAGCCCAAGTCTAGACTTTCGTTGAAACGCATTTCGTTAACTGTCGACCCGCCACCACCGTCCTAATGTCCTAACGACGCTTTCCTGTGGCATCTCGCGATGCTCGTTTTTGCTTGCTCCGCAAGCCGACGGCGCAAGGTGACCAGGCGGATCCCCCCCTCAAAAAAATTGCCTGGAAGTCCTGTGAAAACAATTCCGAGTCGTCGTCGTCGTGCGCGCGCGCGCGTTTGTCGCTAATCGGCCCTTCCTGATGTAAAACGATTTTTAACAGTAGCGACGCAAATGTGCCAATTGCAATGTATTTTCATGAAAGCTACAATTATCATTCTCAGTCCGATTACGAAAGATTATTTCTCATTTTATGCGGCAATTTATTAGCAAGGATTTAAAAAGCTTCGCAATCAAGGTGGTCGTCGTAAGAAGGGAAATGAGTTTTCAAATTAAATCAGTTTCACAAGAGATTTATTAACGTTAAACCGAAAGCACTAGTGCGACGAGCTTGTTGTGCGCAAAGAAGAGACACTCGAGAGGACTACTGCGTTTCACTTGATTATGTGATTCTGCAAACTTTTGTACGATCGCACTCCCACACCGAGCGTCTCATGTCGCATCAGAGCTGAGAGCCGACGCTTTGGATAATTCGTGCGCGATGGAGTTGTGTTTTCATCTCTGACATGGCGTACACCATTCGGCGAGACATTAACTCGTTTTTCATCTTTTTCCCGAAGATATAATGGTCGTAGCGAGAGAGAGAGAGAGAGAGAGAGAGAGAGAGAGAGAGAGAGAGAG